GATTCGACTTACTGTCGCGACTCACATGTTTGCTGAGCATGGGACTTCCCGGGGTTCTTACAACATGCAGTGCAATACAGCCATTTGGGCTCATCTTCGTCTTGCGTTACCGCGACATCTAGTTCATGTGCGCGCTCCCCCCCGCCACTTCTGCATACCTGTGCTTGTGGGCTGTATGTCATATAGATAAACGACCCAGGCTTGCTTGGGGCTGCCCAGGCTTACCGCCAACGTTACCAAGGGCCGCCGGGGACCGCCAACGCTAGGAAAAAAAAGGGCGGGCGCAGTCAACTAGGGTGCAACAAAAAATCGATCGGTGTCCTTGATTCGGTTGTAGTACCACCAAAAGGAGACTGCAAGGGCCAACTCTTAATCCTTTCAGTGCTGTAGATTGGAGGCAGGTTCCAGCCGCACTAGACCGCTAGCTGGCCAGGCTGACCCTGGACTACTGCTTTGAATGAGTATCTAAATCTAGGAGAATGAATATCGTATTTGATCTACCGGAATAATTTCCCGACGAATCTACGCGGATCAGCCGAAGTAATGGGGTACCGACAGCTTGTGGGCAGATGCAAATATGATGAGTGCCCTAACCGTCTTTACAAGTAGATGCAGCAATGTCTATCTTACTGATGACCGTACTGCGAACGTCTACGAATGATTACAGGGGTTTCGTGCAAACTCAGAGCATTACATTCAATCAGCCTCAAACACACGCCGCCTACTTATGAGAAGACGTGCCAACAAGAAAGCACTGCGCTGACGTACAACCCTACTGGTGAAGGCGTCGCGAGGCAACAAACTTGCCGGCGCGTGCGCTCTAGCACGACGGATCCCAACACGTCGCCTGACTGACGGGCGTAACTACAAAAGATTAAGGGGTCCAATTCAGCTACCTAGTGGAGGAAAACTTAAAACCTTAACACACACACACACACGAACGAAGGAACGAAGAATCGTCTATGAAGCCGAACTCCTGAGCGAAGAAGGCCTACAACCCTAAAAACGCCCAGCAACCACAGCCAAGCTAAGGGGGATCTCAAGATCAGCTTGGCTACAAGATGGCGGAAGGCACGAAAATCAGCTCCTGGGAAGCTTTAGGTTGGCCTTCGGCTTCAAGAATTACGATCGAGGGAATTTAGGGTTTACGGACACAGCCTGATGAGGTCTCGGTTCGAAGTCGAACTACAGGAGGGGGGTTTCGTGCCTTACTAGCTCCAAAGGCAAAACTCTGCGACAATGCGGAGGAAAACGGGGGCCCAACAAAGCGAATGCGGGAATCAGGTCTTTGTCCCCAAGCCAAGATCGAGTTTAAGGCCGTCGTTCAGGAACCAAACCAGACAGCAAGACAAGATGTAAAGCGTTTGACTTCGACGCAACGTCCTGTCCCCGAGAAAATTCCATACCCGACACACTAACCCTAGTTCAAAACAGTAGAGAGTGGCCGGCAGGAGTACAACGAGGCCATAGGCACGGACGGAATTCTGGGTTTGGGGTTTTAGGTTTGCAAGGTTTTTCGGGCTTAGAATTTAGGGTATGGGTGTTCGGACTTCGGCTTCAGGATGTAGGGTTCAGAGTTTTCGGTGCAGGGGGGCTCTGGGGTTCTGCAGGGCGCAGGGGATCGAGGCGAAGGGTTCAAGGTTCATGGTGTTTAGGGGTTGAGGGGTTTAGGGTTTAGGGTTCGTGGTGCACTTCTCTTTGGTGGCTTGTAGCGAACCCCCAAGCCCAAGCCACAGGAGCCCAAAATGCTCAACCCAAGTCCCTGGAGTGTGTGTATTAACCCGACCCGCAAGCCTTTGAGCCAACTTGGCTATGGAAAACCTAAGGGTCCGAAGAAGGACCTACTAATTTAATTGAATCAAGTACTTGAGATGAGGATAAGACTTGATTAGGAAACGAGTTCTAAAGGGGGTGAATCAGATTAATTGAACTTGGACCGTTTCGGAGGGCTAAGCGGACATGATCCAGTGAAACCTGCTTTGGGCTTAGCCCAAAGCCCAAAGCTCTGACATGGATGCACGCTGAAGCCCACGAGGATGATGGCTTACCCATAGGCCCCATGGTAGTTCCTTTGGGGGATTCCCTAATACGATTAATATCAGCCGCAAAAAGGAACTACTATGGGGCCTATGGCATGGCTTAATGCCATCGGTACAGCAGGGACCTGCCATTGGAAACTCCCAAGTCGGCAAAACACCTACTCCAACTCGTGTATTTGCGCTTCTTTTGTTGGTTGTCGGACCTCTAGATAGCCTGAGTAGGGTTTTAGTCTCTGCTGAACTTGAGGCTTGGGAGTTTTGTTGGAACGACCTCTCGGGAGTTGAGGTCCAGAGTTTCGGCGCCTTTCCCCCCCGNNCCCCCCCCCCCCCCCCCGAAAACTTCCCTAAAACCGAAATTGCCTTCAACTGTCCCGCATGAGAAAAACCCTAGGCCCCCAAAGGAAAAAGCGAGCTGCAGGTCGCGCGCCCTGCGGGGAGAAAAGAAATTAATCTACTCTGAA